AGTACTTACAACCCACAAGCACATCGTTACAAGCATTTCACAAAATAAAGCATATTGTTGATTTTATGAAACACCAAAGTGGAGGTTTTCCCATATAACGCTTCTTAGCGATATGCCACAACCAAAAGTTCAGCTTATAATATAGCTAGGCGAGATCTAAAAAATTAAAAAAACAACGATGTGAGGTAGGGCTTAGTGAAAACATTTCCTACTAGAGTTCCTAGATAACTAACAAAATAATAACAATTATAATAATTCCCAGAAATAACGAATTATAAGTTTTACACCACAATTTCAAAAATAGCAAGGTACGGTCCAAACAATAGCCTATTGTTATTTTTATGGAAGAAATGCAACAATTTATGTTTCTTTCTTATTTGCAAACTAAATATACTGTAATATATTCCAAAATCAGACCCCTTTTTAAAACAAGGTAAATACTAAGAAAGAAATGGACTATTAAATTTGTGTAAAACCAAAGGTTTGTGATTTTTTCTATTTCACAATCAACAGTCAATTGTCAGAATCTTAAATCTCGATGAGTCATTCGTGAATGTGAAAATCACCTTATAGGTCACACTAAGTCTATGAATTATAGCCTAGTAGCATAGGAATGCGTAAAACGCATCACATAATAGATAATTTCCTTGAATCGAATGCATCTAACATGACCATAGGTTACTGGCCAAATACAAAGAGGCCAAAACAAATTTCAGAAGGGTTAAATACATAAGGGCCAAATACTAAAGTGTCGAATACAAAAGGACCAAATAAAGGTGCATTCACCATATGGCAGGCAGAACACTCCATAGTAGACTTTCTAAAAGTTTAAGGATATCGAGAATCACTAATTAAATCAGAAACACTTCAGTTATCAGAATTTGCTAAACATTTTCAAATCAAGTGGACGAGTTTAAAACTCATCATTGTAGTTAAAACAGTTTACGGATTTTACCGTTTCCCTATTTTTATCAGATACTAAGTCATGAAAAATCTTTGAATCCATTAAACTGTTGAAACACATGCAAAATATTTCTTCAAAAGCTTTCATATAAAGTAAAATCCAAAATTATTTGAGATCGCATGAGGGTCAAATTCACTTTTCATATTTTATATGAAATCAAATTTACTTTCAATATCTCATAAAAAATCAAAATCATATTATGAGTTAGGCTGCGAGAGAATCGTTCAAATCACATGTCATTTTCTATATATGACAACTTAATAGAATAATCAAGATCAACCAATTAATATTACTCATGCAATTTTATAGTACAAAAATAATAGTGAGAAATGAACTCACCTCTAGTGGTCATAACCTCCTCAAAATATTATTCTATTGAATATCAACCACAACCTATAATATGAAGATATAAAGTTAATATTAATTCATGACAACATATATTATAGGTTAATCAATTCGTAATCTAGAACCAAATAAATTCAAATATAATCAATAATAATTAAAATCTATAACTGGGGTACATATGAGCTTATTGCCAACTTTAGCAATCTATCAAAATTTTATAACTCTCCTACACTAGCTTTTGGACTTCATAATAATTTATGATAAGACATGGGGTTATAGATAATTAATTAGGCCCAAAAGTTATCTTTTATTCTTTAGATTGGACTTATTTGTAAATAGAGTAAATAACATGGGTCTTTACGTAATTATCTTGTTCATATATGATCCTATATTTCTCTGTTATGGTTTATTTACAAATCTTTGTGGTTTTTAGGGATTTAGAATGAACTTTTTTAGGTCATAACTTTCTATCCTCTACTCAAGAGGGTTTATTAGTAAAACTAAAATAACTTAGAGGGTATTGATAATTTTCCTCCCTTTTATGTTGCTCTATACCTGATCGTCTTCCTCTTTATCCTTTCTTTCTTTTCTTTCTTTTTTTTTCCTTTCCTCTTCTTTTTTTCAGTTGAACCGTCTGAGGTATCTCTCTCTCTCTCTCTCTCTCTCTCTCGCCATGGTGGTACGGAATCGCCAGCGATAAGAGTGGCTGACAGCGTGATCTTCTTTGGATCTAAGATTAGTTTTTCTTTTCTTTCTTTTTTTCCCTCCAGTCAATCACATAAATCTTAAACACATAAAAATTCTTTTTTACAATCTTAGTTCTTTGCTTCATAATCATAACAAGTTATCTTCCTCACTAATTCTATTTTGATTCAAATTACCAGAATTTACTATACAAATAAAAGTGGGTTATACCTTAATGATTAGGGTACTGATTTATTGCCTTGGTCTTTCTTTCTCCCTTCACGAGCTTTCTCTAGCTCTTAGAGAATTTGTTGAGGATGAGAGGATTTTTTTTGTAGGTTTCTTTTTTTATCTGTTTTATTCTTTTGTTGAGGAGGTGCCACCCAAAACATCGAATGACTTTTAGCCATTAAAGCACTTACTTGGCAATTTATCAAGAGCTGGTGGTGAAATTTCAAAAAAAAACCCTTAATTAGTTTCCCTAATCTTTATTTAACAAATTTTTTTCATTAATTAAAATTTGAAGTACTAATTACGTAGGCTACTACAAGCATATTAAAAATTTTGCATGAAAATCACTTCTAAAGATTCCTAATTTTACTCAAAAAATTAAGTTTTACTCTAAAATATTAAAAAAGTATTATCCTTTATTCGTTTTTTTCATATTTAATTGAGCCGAGATCAATCCTTCTCTATCTTTATCTTTTTCGTGGGCAATTCTACTGTAGTGTCTTTCTTGTCTATATCAATTGTGATATTAGGTTAATATATAATAAAGAGCAAAAGACAAGACAAGAGTCCATAAATATATAAAGAATATTTGGATCAATCAAATTATATTACTACTCATAATTGATATGCTTTAGAGACAATATGTATTGACAATCTTAAATTATAAAACAGATTTTATGGGCCCTCTAACATAACTTCTTAATGCAAGCAATCCTCAAGATTAATGTTGAAAATCTCTTGGGGTCAGGAATAAACAACTAACAAGTTTGTAGTGAAAGCTAGGGGAACGTAGTACATTTCTAAGAATTATTAATCTTTACTTAATTTGCTTATAATAACATAGTCTCATTATCAACTAACTGCAAGGCCTAGTATATTATTTTTTATTGGGCGTTCAAGGCAATTAAAGGACCTAGGTGAGTCCTCATAGCAATGAATGTTATACAATTTAAGTACAAAAGAAAAATGTGGGTTGATCAATGGTGTAGTTGGTGAGGGGGAAACTCCAGCAACTTAATTTGGATATGTGACTATATTATAGATGAAAATGGAGAAGGGTGGTTTTGAAAACAGTGAGTGTGTAGGGTAATTAATATGATTTTTCTTTGTGTTGTTTTCTTCATTCATTTTCAAGATACTTGTGGTCTTGTGAATATATATAGCTATAGCATTGCTATTCTCTTTTGGTTTTGTGGAAGAGTTTGAGTGTAAAAATAAATAAATTATTTAATCCGGTTAAAATAGGATCATATAAGTTAAGCTTATACATGAAATTTACTTTAACCAACACCCATATATAACTATTATAATTGGTATTGAGGTCTAAGATACATGTAAAATTCTCTTTGACTTTTATACAAACAGTATCTATTTAAATAATAATAGTATAATTAAACTTAGTGATATGAAAAAAGATCAAATATATGATATAATTAATTACTTTAAAATAATTTAATCTAATCTAATAAGAAGAAAATAGATGAAAGTGATGTGAAAATTATTGCAATTTCATAATTCATAATTTTTAAACAATCTAATCTAATCTAATAATCTAATCTAATGAGAAGAAAATAACAATGGCACATACGTGTTGAAAGAAATGAAAGTGCTATGCAAATTATTACAATTTTTTATATGAAAAAAATCAGACATACAATATAATTAATTATTTTAAAATAATCTAATCTAATCTAATAAGAAGAAAATAGATAAAAATGCTATGAAAATTATTGCTATTTCTTTATACGAAAAAAGATTAAATATACAATATAATTGATTGCTTATAAAGGCACGTATCTATAGAAGGAGATGAAAGTGCTACGGATATTATTGTAATTTCTTGGCTTATATATATTGCTATTTGATGTTGCATGTGAGAGGATATCAAATGTAAATAGAGTTCAATTTAAATAATATAGTATAATTAAACTTTGAAACTAATTATGCAGTACCGTGAACTATTTGAATCTTAGTCGATGAGAGATCGCCACATTGTGTGCTCAGATCGTAACCGTTTGTTTTGATTTTTCTTTTTTATAATTTTGAAAACGATTTTGTCTCTTTAATTTGTTTGGTGGATTTTGCACGTCCACATACATTTGTAGGTCTGCGTTGTTCCTGGATTCGATCTTTAGGGCAGATATTATTTATCTTGTTAATTTGTTTGTTTTTTGCATTTACGCCTTTCATCTTGTATATATTTGTAACTTTGGCATTTAACAATTTCATTCAGGTTTACAATTCAATTTAAACTATATTCTTTTCTTCATACTATGTATATCTAATAAGAATTTATCAATTTATCAACTTACTCTTACTTAATGGATTATTATTTGAATTCTAAGGGTATTTTTATGAAAGATTTTCCCACTCGTGCTTTTAAAGGGAGTATGATTTTGGAAAACAAAGCTGTTGATTATCATATTGATTTCTATGTTTATCTTCACAAGTGGGAAAAACGTATTCTTGTACTTGACTTCTCCACTGTACTTACATCTTCAAGTGACATGAATCAATACTACGAGCATTTAGCCCTTTCTATCTGGTCCGAACAGCAAATTATCAAGGTCCAGATTAGGCCAACCTGGATTTCTTTATGCTAAATGCAACCTGATTGTTATTGGCTCTGATGACTCATGCTGTCTCCTATTGGCATACTTGAAGTTCTCTTCTTATTTAACCCAAGTTGAATTTTTTTGTATTGATGATCATTGCTTTTTCCCCCTTTTTCTGTAGAATGGTTCCATGCTTACAAGTACACTTGTTTGTTTTTCAGCCCAGTTGATTGCATTCACTGGACTTCTGCTGCACAACTTTCTCTTCTTGAAGATGAAATGCGTAGGGTGGAGAGGGTTAATGTAAGCATATACTTTTATGGCACATATTTTTCTTCTCCATGAACAGGATATAATGGGTCACCTAAAATAGAATTTTATTGGTAGTTGTCACAATGTTGAAAGTTAGTTATGTCTTCATTGGTTGTGTTATGTATTTAAGATACCATATTTTTTAAAAGAGCTTTTTGCAAGAACATTAGATGTTCATTACTTTTCCAAGCCCTTTATTTTGAAGATACCACATAATATATTGTACTTTTATCATGTGAAGTCTTGCTGTTGCTTTTCTCTATATTTGGTCCTTTTGAGATGTAAATGTATAGTCGATGTTTTCTTTGTTAACTTAATTGTAGCCTATGTGACATGTATGAGCCTTTTCATTTCATCATTAGTATCTGAAAGTTTTTGAACTTACAGAATTAATGTTTCCATTCTCACAGGTTGGATTAATGCTTGCTGGAATGGGGTCCTCATCTGATGTTTTTAGAATGGTAATAGTGATGCCTAATTTTTCCCCCTTTTTTTCATTTGAAAAGACATAGTCTGATCTTAAATTTAGAATCTTCTATTACCCAAAACCTCTTTTTATTTACAAGTGAGTCAGGTCTCACTGGCAAAGTGACACCTACTAATAGATGAAATATAAGACTTCATTCAGTACTCCGATTTTGGAACTGGCCCAAGTGACCTTTTTTTCACGTACACAGCAGCATGCTTCTACAAGATACTACTAGCAAGCTACTATTCTATAACCCACTTATTTAGTTTCATTGGAAGTCCGCTTTAGAATTTGAGAAGTCCAAAAATAGATCATTGTTGTTAAATATGTTAATTTAGATTCTGGCTTTCTGCTTACATACTCAAGGGATCTAGTAGCACAACCTACATAACCAAAAACCTCCATTTTCACTTGCATGGTTGCCATAAGTCCCATATCATTCTTCTTATCAACATTCCCATTATTGTTGACAAGAGCTCTTCTCTTGGCCGTGTTTAGTACCTAGACTGAGGAGGAGGAGAAAAATGAAGGATTCAACACCTGGATCTCCCTTTCCTTCAAACTTATGTACTTGACCACTTGTCTATTCCTTTTTTGGGCATTCCTTGGATAGGACTGCTATGGTGCTCCATTTTGAGGATTCCAGAATCTAAAATTATTCATACTTCTCTTGTAAGTCATTCTAAGAAGCACCGACTCGTGAAAACTCCCCCCGTCCCCGTGTCCGACGCTTGTCGGGGACGGACGCGCGTTCGACACGCGTTCGACACGCGTCAGACACGGCGTCAACGGCGTCGACACGGTCAGCTCTAGTCGACACGGCGAAGTTGAGGGCGACACGGCGAAGTTGAGGGCGACACGGCGAAACCAGAATTTGAAACCCAAACCCGAAACCCAAACCCGAAACCCAATTTCAAAGTTAAAGAAACCAAAAACCCTAACCCTAGCCGTCACTCGTCAGAAATCAAAACTTACCCGATCAATAGTACGTCCTCGTCTCGTCCTCGTCGTCAGCTCTCAGTCACGTCCTCGTCGTCGTCGTCGATCATCCCCGTCAGCTTCGTCGTCGTCGTCGATCATCCAAGGTCAGTCGTGCTCTCTCTCTCTCAGTCGATCTCTCTCTCTCGCAAGTACGATCGATCTCTCTCTTTCCGATTCTCCCTTTCCCTCTCTTATCTCTTTCACTCCCTCTCTCCTTCTCTCTCTTTTATCTCCCTCTCACCACACAAGAGCCCCCGTGAACTTTCCGTTCCCCAGAAAGACCCCCACTCAATTCCCACTCACCCGACAAACTCCTGTTCTCTCTCCCTCTCTCTCTCAAATATCGCACATAACCCCACGCTAATTTTAAAGTGACGCTGCCCACGCTGCTCTTTAAAATTATTATTTTCTTGCTACTGTTCTGCTGTCCCCCACCACGCTGATTTGCTGTTTTAAAATTATTTTCTTTTGTTACTGTTCTGTTGTTGGGGGGTAATTAGTATAGTGATCTTTGGTTACTGTGTTTCTGTTCGATGTTAACTGGTATACTGATTTCTGGTTACTGTCTTACTGTTGGGGGTTAACTAGTATAGTGATTTCTGCTTACTGTTTTGCTGTTGGGGGTTATATTTGTCATTGATTACACAAGCCAGTGTTACATAATAATACAACATAAAAATTGATCTATTTTTCTATATGTTCATCTTTTCTTTCTTATCTTCTTTAACATTATTATCTTTAATTCTCCAAGAGATCATTGTCATCCCGACATCTTACTTCACACCTGCAACACACACAGACACACTTTCCATTAGTTTCTTATTTATAATCCCCACTTTACATAACAAAAAATATGAAAATGTAATAGGAATTTAATTCAATATTGATCTATATATAATAATAATATTAAAAAATCTAGCCGTGTCGCCGTATCCTATTTTTTGGGGTTTTGCCGTATCCGTGTCCGTGTCCGTATCGTGTCCGTGTCGCCGTGTCCGTGTCCGTGCTTCATAGAAGTCATTGCTACCTGGCTTGGGCTGGCCAAAACGAGAAGTAGCTGAGCCAGAGCAGACGGTAGCTCTGGTTATTCATGTCTATACGGGGGATAGATTCCATGAGGACCTCAGTGGTAGATGGATGAGGAGGCCAGTAAACATGTCAAAACCCCTGACTAAGGCAGCATTTTAATTTATTATCATCCACAAAGAAACTCATAGTCTTTTCCAATAATTTATATCCCTGACCTACAAGCAAATTGTTAGCAAATTCATTCCACTTTCCTGATAATGACTCCCATGACAGATGTTGCTAAATATGGTGTTAAGGATTTCAATAGTTTAAAGATAAAATTTTTGAGCGGGCTATGATTCTCACATTAAACCCAAATTGCAAACTTCCGTTTTCATGTGCTAAGAAACCTGAAGCCTTGACATGAAATCATTTTATGTGCACTAATGAAAGCATGTCAATTGCCAATAAGTTTATTCTTTTTAGCATGCTAGTTCCAGTCATTAGCTTACTGTTTCTAGTTCTTGTTATGACTTTTAACTATTTTACTTGATTCTTCTTGGAGAAATGATACTGAGATTTCAGTAGTTACATTCGTTCCGTATTCATTATTTATTGTACTCATATTGTAGGCAAGGTCCACATGGGAAAAACGGCAGTCAAAAGTCCTGGTATGACCACTTCACTTCATCTTTATAGAACTTAAAAGTAATGTTCTATGGTTATACCACCAATATATGATTAGCTCTCTTCATAAATTTCATAAATTGCATTACGTAGGGCATGCTTGGCAATCATAGGTTATAATCCATTGGTAGATTATAATCCAAGTGGATTAAAAACTGTAGGATTTTGGCAAAGAGGGTGGTGTGTAATCCAAATGCTTTGTAAAAAAGACCGAAAACCCTTGTCCCTTGAAAGTGGGAAGAGAGAGAAGGGAAAAGAAAAGGATGTGCAAAAGTAATGGGCTGTTCTGTCATTTACTTGGTCAAAGATGTGAATTATAATTCCCCTAAAAGAATAACCTTGGAACCCTGGATTATGTTATTGTGGATTATAATCCAAAATAATCTGCTAAAATTGTGGTTACCAAACATGCAAAAGTGATTATAATCCACTTTGACCAAGTTGCCAAACATGTTCATACTATTTCTTGGCTCAAAATAATCTCTCATAAAATTCGTAGTCCAGAGCATCTTAGTTTTCTGATTAAAATCTTTCTGTATGAAGACAATTTTTCTTGTGGTTTTGCTTCAGCAAATTTCCCGAAAGCAAACATATGAATTATTGGATTAACACATTGACCAAGGAAACCTGAGGCGGACTATCGAGAGAGAATGACCCTTCCTCACTCAAGACACTAGGGCCCTATCCGAAGGTTCTGGAGAAGCAAGAGAGGGTTGTTTCAAAATTTTGACCCTTTACAGATTCTATCAACATGTCAACTATAATAATTAGATCTACATTGGAAAGAGACTACTATTGCATATTGACAATTTTAAGTTACTATGCTCCACTTCTGCTTTCCTCTTGGTATCTCACCATATGTAGAATCACAATCTCTATTACAGTTACAATCTCCATTAGATCTCCATTAGAAAGAGACTGTTGTTGCATATTGACCCTTTCCAGATCCTATCAACATGTCAACAATATTAATTTGGATCTCCATTAGAAAGAGAATGCTATTGCATATTGACAACTTAAAGTTACTAGGCTCCACTTGGAATCTCACCACATTGTAGAATGACAATCTCTTTATGTCCATACCTTCATGTATCTTATTAACGATCCATGGAGGCACCAGTGGGAGACATAGGCTTCAGTAGTTACTTTATATTCCTAATTGACTTCCCAATTGACAATGTTTTCAATATAAATTGTGCATTTCATATTTTTCTTCTTTCCAATGTGCAGGAAAAGGCTCGGGTACGAATGATGAAACAAAAAGGTTCAGATGGATCTTGGAGCGATCTTTGGGTAAACCCAAAAGATTACCAAAATACAGGTACATTTTATGGGGCAGAAAAAAATGGATTCGGATCCTGTCCAATGAGGTGGTAATTGGAGAGGGTCCGATTGCTGAAATCGTAGCCGTTTATTTCAATTTCAAGGGCTAAATATGACCACATAGGATTCAGCGAATATCTAGAAAACTATTGTTGTCTAACTAATATGAAAACCCCTTTTGTGATTAGTCAAAATCCTAATTGGAATAAACTGCTATGATCTGAGTAATTGCGCTCTCTCCAATTACCACCTAATTGGAGAGGATCTGAATCCATCAAATAAAGCATTTTTTAGATATTGGTCCATTGAATCATTCATACTTTTTTAAATCCACCAGATCAATGAAATTGCTATTTAGCCCTTTAATTCACATTACTTACTTCAAATTAGTCAGCATGGTGAATCGTCGTGTGGATTGGGGAATACATTCCATTAAACTAAACATTTTGACTTGGGTTTCCAACTTTCCAATATTATTGAAGTTTATATAAAATTCAAACCCGTTTTCAATCCTATCGTAGAAGTTAAGATCAAAACCATTCCATCTTCTCTCCTGATGGTCATGTTCTCCCCTCTAACCCATTTTCAATTAGTGAGGAAGGGCTAGATCAATCACTTACCCACTAGTATCAGGAAATTGGATGGAAAAACTAACAGAAATAATAATTTGGAGCAACTTATTTGAATTGGGAGACCAAGCAGTAATTTCAATGATTAGGAGCCTAATTTTAAAATCTGAAAGATATAAGAGACTGATATCTAAAATACCCAAAGTAAAAAGTAAAAAAGGCGTGAAAGTTATAAAGTTATGGGATCAGAGTACAGTTCCTTTCAAAAAAGAAGAGATCAGGGATTTCTAGTCCCAGCCGTTTCTCCTTTGAGAAACGATCCAGTAGACACTGTCCATTGAATAACTTATGGACCAAGCAGCACAAACTGTAGGTTTAGCAAGACTACACTGATGCAAGGATTAAACAGGCTTTGGTGCGTGACCTATCAAATGAACAGAATTCACTTCCCTCTTCCATGCTGCAAAGCTTGTGTGCATACGTAACAATGAATGAGAATGCTTTGTTTGACAGAAGAAGAAGAAGACAACGAGAGAATGAAGAAGGCTGCAGCAGCAGCTCGAAGGTGGAGAGAATACTCGAGGAAAGGCACAGATAGACCCCCTACCTTCAAGCTTCCAGGGACGGTTGTTAACAAGGATCAATGAAGCAGACATTGCACATAGTTTCAAATGTGAAACCTGTATACTATGTTTATAATTTCCATTTTTAGAGAGCTTATAATAGATCATTGTGCTCTCGCTTATTCAAACATGTAATATATGTAAATGGTAGAACATATACAACTTTTACATTGAGTAAAATTGGGGAAAAGAATCATCTTTCAAAGTGTTAAATGATTCCCTTGCGCGCGCGTGCGCACACACACACATATATATATATATAAACTTTAACATTTCCATGTTATATATTATTCAAACATGTAATATATGTTAATGGAGTAACATATACAACTTTTACATTGAGTAAACTTTGGAAAAAGAATCATCTTTCAAAGTGTTAAATGATTCCTCGTGCTTTGTCTATATTTATATAAACATCATAAAACTTTAATCTTTCCATGTCACCGTTTTTGGCTCTCCTTTGTAGTGAATAAATTTCAATTGCAGCTACATTTGTTAGTGATAACACACAAAAGTAGCATATAATTTGTAGTATTAACATTACTCCAATTTGTCTGTGGGATATGAATCTGCATAGATTTCATTACTCTTATATCATCTTATGGTCTCTTTTTCTGTACCATAATGTTAAGAGTTATGATAATAAGAGAAGACTATTAAATTAAGAAGAAAACAGCCTTTATTAATTGATGATTCCTTGGTTCATGAGCGCGCGTATTTATAAATGCTAGATGACATAATATAGCAAGTCCCAATACTAGGTTTAGAAATAATTAATTAAGGAGAACATAATGCACCACCAAATATATATAGAAGCTAGGAAACGATAAATGTAGATTATATCCTACTATATTTAATATATTAATTGCATATTATATTCAACTGATGAGACCCGATCATCCATGGTATTTACGAGTATGAGCTGATGAAACCGAGGCAATCAACAAAACCAACTTAAAAAGGATCGAAGAAATCAAGTTACGGTAGTAGATCGAACAGGAGGGGCTCCAGGTTTTGAAAGCAGTAACAAAT